GTTCTTCTTTTATTTTGGTTCCGTAGTCGGACCTTGATTGTATCTGGATGATGTAATGCTTTATTCATGTAATTGTGTGAAGTGGCGATTGTAAGCCAACTATGTATCTCTTTCCCTTATGTATTACATGGGTTGTGTGAAGATTACCTCATTTGCGACATTGCTTTCAATGCGGTTATGCCTCTAAGTCGTGCTTCGACACGTGGGAGATATAGCCGCATCGAGGGCGTTACAGCGCCGTGGCCGGAGTGGCCGTCGGCGGAGACCTGGAGTCGCCTTCTCAGTCGCCCGTCTCCGTCAGCTTGCTCTCCGACCCTTTCCACTGTGCGGCCAAGAGGCAGCCTCATTAGCAACCTTGCTAATGCAGGAGGCTAATACGAGACATTGGGCAGACAGGGGCTCCTTTTTCGACAGTTTTGGAGGCAGCATGCTAAGTTGATTTGTCAAATGTAGTTAACAGTAGTTTCTCAGTTACTAGTGAGGTGTAATGAGGCTTTCTCAACAATGTGATGCACTCAGCCTTTCAGGGCGCTGCTAATCAGATTTATGCCACTTCCACAATTAGAATCCTCGTTTCCATCTCTCTAAAATTTCTGTTTATAAAATTTGGACCCGAATATCTAGTGTACGTCAGCTTTTTAGGCATGGCAAATTGAATGCTTTTTCATGGCAAGTTGTGTTTGCCACGGATGGCAAATCCGCGCCAGTTCATTGTTTTGCCAAAACATTCGTGCTTGCAAACTAAATTTGCATCCTCACGCCACTATAAATTACCATGAAAAATGTTTGAGTTGCCTTGTCTAAAATTCTGTTGTCGGATTTTTAGCATTTTCGTAAAAAAATTACGGGGTTGTCAAAAGGGTGACCCTTAGGGATGGCTTGTAGTTTTTGAAATTCATTGGCCTCTTTCCTTTTAACAACAACAGTATCAATAATAAATGGGAAACGTTTCCAGACAGACGACCGGCCGAGCGCTCGGCCGGTTGCCCCTCGCTCGCTCGCTTGTGTACGCGGAAGCGGACTGGGCCACACGAGTTTGATGGGCCTTCAAGCGAGATGTCCCTTTTCTTATGTCTTTTGCGTTAAAAAAATTCTCTGCTTTCTTCTTCCTCTTGCCTTGTTGCTTCTCTTCTCTCTTGTTACACACAGTCAGCTCGTCAGTGCCGACGGCACAACTTCCTGCTACTTCTGTGAGCACCCCCTCCCCCAACGCTGCAAGCATCTCCTTCCCCAAGCACCTCATACTGCTCCCCCGCCGATGCTACAACCAGAGAGATCTTTTGCTAGAACCGGTGACATTTTTTGTTGAAATTAGTGTTGCTTCTTTTTTTTCCTGCATG